ATTTATTAAAAAATTATTATTATTTTATTTAAAATTAAAAATAAAAATTTAAAAATACAATCATATATATAAGATGTAAGAAATAACTGTACTTCTATTATATGTAAAAACCAACTGTACTTATATTAGTTTTTAATAACTAAAATAAATAAATATAAAAAAATATATTGAATCAAAATATATATCAATTATTTTTAAAAAAATTATTGAAGTTTTATTGTCTTTGGTCATTGTATTTGGTCCCTTAAAGAAAAGTCACGAATGACTATATGCAAAGATTTATATGGTAGGCAACTTCATGATTACTTTCTAAGAAGAAAAATTAAACCCCTCACTTGCGGTGTGTCCGCTTCATTGGTGGATATAAAGTCTTTGATTCCAAACAAAGACTGAATCAACTCTAAAAGTCCTAATCAAGCTTAATTTCTACATCTGAAATTTCAGCTAATGAGTCCAGTTTGAACACGTGTATTTGAAGGGAAGACAATTAGTAAACAAAAGAACTAAGCAGGCTCAGGTTGTTTTGTAATTTTTCCCTCCCTCTTTGGTTTTTTGAGTAATTTCCTAAACAAAAAATAGAAGTGGAATCCCTAATTATAATTATTTTAATCAAATAATTTCAAGTTCAAGATTAAAAAACGTTACCGAGTCATCAACGGATTAATTAATCCAACTAGCTGTTCTAGAAAAATTAAGAATAGCGATCAAAAGTTTGAAACCTTGAGAAAATACAATAACAAGGGTAAAAGCAATTCGGAAAAGGAAAATGATTGGTACACTTTTCAGTTCAATACATTTTCTGACACACTTTGATTTAGTAATTAAAAATATAATATAAATACAATTAATTTTACTGGTTCTTGTATCCTGTGTGCATGATTGTATCATTAAACTTGTATGTTTTTAATTTTAGATAAAAAATAATAATTTTTTAATAAGTGTGTCATGCAGTGTGTTAAATCGAAGTGTGTACCTATTGTAACTGTAACTTCAAATTGGAAAAAAATCAGGATTACGTGATTTCTAGAGATTATCTGTGATTTTAAATTTAAATTATAGATAAGGTTTGTTAAATGAGGATTTGAGGAAAATCTCTAGGCAGAGGTTAAAAGGACCTCAGGGAATAGCAAAAG